AGTGGTAGTGGGAGTGGCAGTAGTAGTAGTAGTAGTAGTAGTAGTAGGAGTAGGAGTAGGAGTAGGAGTAGGAGTAGGAGTAGGAGTAGGAGTAGGAGTAGGAGTAGGAGTAGGAGTAGGAGTAGTAGTAAGAGCAGTAAGAAACAGCGACAGCAGCAGCAGCAGCAACAGAAACTGCAGACGCAGCCGTCGTCGTGGATGAACATCGTCGTCACAGTGGCAATGGTGGCAATGGCCCAAAAGAAAGGTGGAATCAGGATCACCTTCTCCAGCAAAACAGAGGAAATACTAGAGATAAATTCGGCCTTGGATGTTTTGCTCCCAGCGTCCACCCGGGTCGGCGGCTGGGGCTAGTGAGTGCATACGTAAAGCATGAAGACAGCGGTGGCTGACAAGATCAGATGTGAAAACCCGGCATCCAGGAGCTAGCCGTTTTGCAGCGCATCTCTTCGACAACATGGTGCGCACAGACTTCTCTGCAGAGCCACCCGATCGGCCCAGGGCTTGTGTTGTGGCTGCTCATGGCGTGGCAGGGACCTTAGCTCAAGGGCAGAGCAGCCAGAAGCCCGACCTGTCATTACTCTCCTGCTGCTCTAGCACCGAGTCTCCCACGAATATGGAAACTCGCTATATGAATGGATGGGAGTCCGAAGCGAACGGTTCCGCTGGAAGCTCCCAAAACACCTGACTTACAACCTGGACAGAAATGGCTGCGCAAGCTCACCAAACTCCAGTCCTTCTCTTGCCACCGTGCACATCGAGCTAGAATAAGCGATCAGTGCGTAGTTCCAGTGGACAACACTGCCGCTGTGTCGACATGTCGCGTGCCGATACCAACATCTTTAATCTAGAACCATGCAGAGTAGGCAGGGCACGTGCCCCGTGGTCTCAGCACTCTTTGGACCTGCCAGTCAGGTTGTTCAAATGACATGCCTGGAGCTATTCGCATTGCAGCTTGCATGTGGGCGTCCGAATTTGGACTCTCGCAATTCGGACACTAGTTCGGTTCGAAAGGGAAGCACGTTGCGTCCCAACTTCTACGCTCACACTCGGACAATCCAGGCGAGGCATGCCCCATTTGCCCCTCCTTTTTTGCCCAATGGTTGATCTGGAGATGTCAGCATCTCCGAAGCCTGCAGAGTGCAGGCACCCATCCAGTGGACTCTAGAAGCCCACGTCCCTGGAAGACCAGGTCCCCAGTGAAACATAGGAGGATCAGGAGAAACAAGGCACTCGTGGTCTTCACACCTTGCTTCAGTCCGAGTTAGCCCCCTCTTTCCTACACAGCTCTTCCCCGTGGCTGTGCGTGGCAGCAAATTAGCGATCGCTAGAACATGGATCATGACACCCTCCGGACCCATCAGTCAGTGGCTCAGGCAGTCGCACATCTATAACCTCTAGCGACTCTAGCGTTTCTAGAGATCTGAGGAAAGTGGCACGTGGGCCCACGATGATCCATGGATCGGCCGGGTAAAGCGAATTGGGTGCAAAACTGGCTCACGCGCTGCAATTCACACAGCTGTACTTCGGTCCTTCAGCCTTCAGAGCTTCGATCGCAGAAGCCTCCAAGCCTTTCGTCGCGGATGCTGCCGTGGAGGCATCTGAATCCGAGGCCAATGACTTGTCAGATTTGGCGGTCTTCGTGAGCTTCTGGACATCCACGGTGAACTTGATAGCATCTGCAGCTGCCTTCGTTCGGAGGTAGTAGAGGCCGGTCTTCAAGCCTAGCTGCCAGCCGTGGAAGTGCATGGAGGAGAGCTTGGCAGTGGTCACATCCGTCATGTGGATGTTCAGAGACTGCGATTGGTCAATGTAGGCGCCACGGTCACCGGCCATGTCCAGCACAACCTTCTGCCTGATCTCCCAGACGGTCTTGTACAGCTCCTTTAGATCCTGCGGCAGGTCCATCTTCTGGACGCTGCCGTTGTGGGCGACCAGCTGAACGCGGAGTTCCTCGTTCCACAAACCGCGCTGGATGAGGTCCTTGAGGAGGTGTCGGTTCACCTGCACGAACTCGCCCGAAAGCACCCGACGAACATAGAGGTTCTGCGTGTACGGCTCGAAGGACTCGTTGTTGCCCAAGATCTGGGCTGTGCTGGCCGTAGGCATGGGTGCCACAAGCAAAGAATTCCGGAGTCCGAATCGGGAGATGCGGCCTTTCAGGCCTTCCCAGTTCCAACGCCCGCTGCGTGGCTTCCGATCCCACAGGTCGAACTGCAGCAGACCTTTGCTGGCAGGGCTGCCTTCGTAGGTCTCGTAAGGGCCGCAAGTTTCCGCCAGCTCGCAGGATGCCTCGCAAGCCGCGAAGTAGATCGTCTCGAAGATGTCCTCGTTCAGCTGCTTTGCGGCCTGGCTCTCGAAGGGGAGCTTCATGATGAGGAAAGCATCGGCGAGGCCCTGGACGCCCAAGCCCACAGGCCGATGCCGGAGGTTGGACTTACGTGCCTCCACCACCGGGTAGTAATTCCGGTCAATGACTTTATTCAGGTTTCGGGTCACCACCTTGGTCACTTGGTAGAGTCGCTGGAAGTCATACGTGCCATCCGAGCTGGCAAAGGCTGGCAACGAAATGGAGGCGAGGTTGCACACTGCTACCTCATCCTTCGAAGTGTACTCAATGATCTCTGTACACAGGTTGGAGCAATGGATCGTGCCGAGGTTCTGCTGGTTGGACTTCCGGTTTGCATGGTCTTTGTACAGCATGTAAGGCGTGCCTGTCTCCATCTGAGACTCGAGGATGCGGAACCAAAGCTGCTGTGCCTTGACTGTCTTGCGGCCCTTGCCCTCCCTCTCCAGGCGTGTGTACAGCTCCTCGAACTCCTGGCCCCAGAAATCCATGAGCCCCTTACCGCTCTCCTCGTCGTAGGCCTCGTTCGGGCAGAAGAGTGTCCAGTCTTGGTTGTCCTTGACCCGCTTCATGAAGAGATCCGGGATCCAGAGCCCGTAGAAGAGATCGCGGGCACGCTGCTCCTCCTTGCCGTGGTTCTTGCGCAGCTCCAGGAAGTCGAAAACGTCCGCATGCCAGGGCTCCAGGTACATGGCGAAGGAGCCCTTCCTCTTGCCGCCACCCTGATCCACATACCTCGCCGTCTCGTTGAAATTACGGAGCACGGGTACGAGGCCGTTGCTGTGGCCGTTTGTGCCGCGGATGTAGGAGCCGCTGGCACGCACGTTCGAGATTGCCACGCCAATTCCACCGGCAGACTTGGAGATGGAAGCGCACTGCTTCAGGGTGTCATAGATACCTTCAATGCTGTCATCCTGCAACTTCAGCAGGAAGCAGGAGGACATCTGTGGCTTCGGAGTCCCAGCATTGAAGAGGGTCGGCGTCGCATGGGTGAAGAACTTCCGCGACATCAAGTCATATGTCTCCAATGCGGCTTCGAGGTCACCCGTGTGGATTCCGCAGGCGGCACGCATGATCATGTGCTGCGGCCTCTCCACGATCTTGCCATGCACACGTAAGAGGTAGGACTTCTCCAGGGTCTTGAATCCGAAATAGTCGTAGGACAAGTCCCTCTTGTAGTCGATGGCTTGGTCCAAAGCTTCCGCATTGGCCTGGATGAACTCCCAAACCTTCTCGGCCAAGAGAGCTGCAGGCCTGCCCTGCTTGTCGGTGTAGTCGCGCAAGATCTTGCACGTCTCATAGAAAGAATCGGATGTGTTCTTATGCAGGTTCGACACAGCAATTCGTGCTGCCAAAGTGGAGAAGTCTGGGTGCTTCTGTGACATGTATGCACACGTCTCGGCAGCCAAGGTGTCCACCTCCGACGTGGAGATGCCGTTGTAGAAGCCTTCCACTACCTTCTGCGTAACGGGCACGGGGTCCACGAAGCGGGAATCCAAGCCATCGCAAAGATTTTTGATGCGGCGAGTGATGGCATCGAACTTCACCTCCTGACTCTGTCCATCCCTCTTGACCACGTACATCGGTGCCATGGCAAACAGAACTGAGACAGTCGGCGAAGGATGCAAAGATTTATAGAATCCTTTCCCAGGTGGGCCAGCTATGAAATGCTTTGAGCCGAAATGGCTACGGGTCCGGTTTTGGACTCTGGCGACTCGGGCAACGCGGAAGGGTCAGGGATGCTGTGCACGGCGCAAGCAACAGGGCCCCTGGACGATCATCCACATGAAAGACTACGCTAATCTGACTCTGCAGGAAGCCATGTAGTCATGTAAGCGATCCTACGCCCTTTCCTTTTCACATCCCCCATCGCCTCCAGCAAATATTTGTTGATGACATTTGGTGCATTGTCACCTTGCATTGCAAGAAACTCTCCTGCATTGTCCTGCCTCCGAAACCCGGGCCAACCACCCCGCATCACCTTGTAAACCACTTGTCACAAACAATTCTACCAGCGAAGGCATTTCCGAAGTGCAGCCTGGGGTACCACATGCAAACGTATCAAGGACGCTTTTGTCGATGACAGTGTCGAAGCTGCTCTCTATGAGGCCTGCAGGTAGCTCGGAAGCTGGCAAATACTTCTTGTGGCAAGGATTCTTCAGAAGAGCAACCCATTTCTGTGGCATCCATCTCGAACCTTGCATGAGCTGATCCTGGTGTCTTCAAGATTACGCCGTCACGTTGCGCGACTCAGGCTCAAACCACTTCAGCTCTGGGCGCATGGTCCTATTCCTGCAGGAGAAAGATATATCGCCCGCTGGAGTGCATGTAGCATGAGGACGGATGGCGGCATTCACGAGGGAGGTCCTCTCTGCCATTTGCTGAATGCATACCTGAGCTTAGGCTTAGGTCTGAAGTTTGAGCTGCATTTCAGTACACTTGCAGCTGTGCTGCCTCGGCGACATCGATGTTTGTCACATCCTTGTAGCCGTGGTCGTACCTTCAAAGGCTTCTGCAGAGCTTGCACAGACTCTGCTGCTAGCCCCGAGCGAAGAACTGCAACTTGCAACGCTGCAACTTGCAACTGGGAATGCAACATTGCTTCGGGCAGCAAGGAATTGCCGCAGCCCACGTGCAGTACGGACGCATCTGCGCGGCCTGACGTGGCCTGGGTCATGGGGCCGGCGCATGGGTGAATGCAGATGCACTGCACCCGTGTGATCAGCATTGTGCAGCACATCACCCAGCTCCAGCCTCTTTGATAAGGCTCTCAAGCTCTGCGAAGCTCTCTAACCACTCGAAGGGATTGGGATCGCCTCGGTACCTCAGCAGATTTGGCTTCAGTTTGTCTTCAATTCGTGCTGTTTACCTGGTTGAGTTCCACGCCTTTTATTCCAGTACTCTACGCCATCACCGTACCCAGCAGCCTGAGACGAGGCACTGCTTGAACCTACGAGCGCCCTCAAATTACGGCAGACGCCATCGGGTCTCATGTCGGGTCCTCTTCGCACATTGCTTGAGATGGCACAGCTGCTTGATGACTGGAGCTGAACGGCTGGTAAGGCCTGCGCGTCCTCTGTTGCTTCTTCCGCCACCTCGGAGACCTCCTTCCGCTTGGCACTGCCTTTATCTTGGCCTGATCAAGCTTCAGTTGCGACCGCCTCACTACTACATCAATACATCAATCCCGGGAACAGGCGGGCTTCACATTATGCCACTTTCCCTCCAAGCTTCAGACACTGAGCTCCTGAGCCATACCTATCCATACCTCTTTCTGCCTTCCTCCCGTGTGCTGAGGCAGCAGAACGGCCCGGCATGCTTTCGCCCAAGCTTGAACTGTAGCAACCGTATACAAGCAAAACAAGAAGCAAGCATGTTCTGTGTAGGAGCCAGGCTATTCGACAACGGGCCACTGATAGCATTGATTGCCATGGGCCTGTGGAGGCGTCTTATAACTGGCTACGTAGTTAATCTTAAACATATCAGTGCAGCCTGGCACCGCTCCAGATGGCAGTCAGGAAGGCGGGCGCAGACCCGTCTACCCAACCCAGCTGATTGTCAGGGCCAACAAACACGTGGCGAGCTTACATTTACAACCTGACCCTCCGGAGACTGGCAAAATCATGCTTCAGCTTTCTAGTAGTAGCATCTCCGGAGTCTTGCAGTGCTGCTTTTTGCCTCAGGCAGCAAGTCCACCACCAACCTCTGCCATGACCTTGGTGGAGGAGTCGCACATACTTAAGGTTAGGCCGAGGGTCGGAGGACGAAGCACACCAATGGCTGCACTATGCTGCGCTGGTGGGAGTGGCACAGCGGCAGTCGCAGGCGCCCGCCGCTTCCCCTCCTGTCAATGACTGAATGCTCGGTCGTGCCAAACCCCATGACACCTTGCTTCACCAGCTGCAACGTCCTCGTCTTGAAGAAGCTCCTTGACGAGTGCAAACAGAAAATACCTAGACTCGACAGCATGAAGAGCTACTGTAGACCTCCAAGCTTCACAACCTATCACAACCTTCTACAAGCCACAAGCTAACGCTCCGAATCGTTGCTCCACGAAAATGACGAAACTGATGCTCACAACCCGCTTCTGGGGGCTCCTGGAGCCGCTTCAAGTCCTCCACCTGCCGCAGCTGCCGTGCATTTATCGTACACATGTCCGAAACCTCAAAGATGTACCGCAGTCATGGCCTCGTCAACATCCCACCACTTCGACAGCCTAGGACTGCAAGACGATGATTCTTAGCGACAGTTCACAGAAGTATGTCTGTGGGAGTGGCACAGCCACTCGCAGCCCTTGCCTCACAATTGACGACCGCTTACAAATCTTTCACAGGAGTCTGACGCACTCAGCGGCACACTCTTCCAAGCGCTTCTTGGTGGCTTCGAAGGTCGTTGGCCTTCGTCAACTTGTCTCTGCCGGAGATTCACCGCGACACGTTAGGTGTGAGTCACAGCGGAAGATGCCCCTCTTCCGTTGAGGCGCCCGCTGGCTCCACGGCAAGTCCTCAACACGAGCAGTTGCGCCGGCGCCAGATCCGGCGCCTCCGCTGCCCCGGGGATCTGGCAGCCAACAGTCCCGGAGGGCAGCGCTTCAAAGCCATCAAGTCGTACCTGCACTGATCCATTTTTGTCAGACTTCGCAGAATTTCCAGCTCCTAAGCACTACTAAGCCTTGCACCCTCCGTCTTCAGAAGGCCCCAGCCTGGGGAAATCCGAGAGTTTTCCACTGAGCCCAGACAGGGCATGCTGTTCTCGTAGTGGCTGGCACTGCATCGTAGCCGTTCGACAAGGCTTGCCTCGGAGAGCTGCTATGGCAGCTACGAGCCGTGAGAAAGACTGCATCGCTTCGTCGCTTCGGGTTGGGCCTCGTTTCCTCTAGTCGCTGAGCGGGCCGCCCAGGGCCTGCACAGCCCTCCGGTGCACAGTCTTCCTTCAGAAGTTGCACTGGGCGGGCGACTGTCGGCCCCAAGGCAGATGGTCGCCTCCAAACTCGGGGGCTGCAGTGAGGCTTTCGATGCGTCTTGCGGCTTGCGGCCTCTGCAAGCTCGAGGCCCTGTCGGACGATCCCCTGTTGCACAGCGGCTCTGGATTCCCGGACTTAAAAAGAGCAGCTTTCTCCTCCAACTTTGCACCGAGATCGCCATCAGGCTGCCGCCAGCCTGCCGCAGAAATCTGGTGCTTTCTTACTCTTCCGTAGCCTAGCTGAGCTCAAGACGGGGAACGCTGGCCGGATGCCTCTGACTCTCTCACACGACCCTGCAAAAACATCCCCCCTTCTGCGGCCCAAGAAGCACATCTGATGGAAATGCGGCTGGCCTCAAGGAATATGAATACGCCAAGCGAACCCTACCACCCGGAAATGCTCGAGGACCGAGCGGAAAGCTTGATGGCTCCATTCCGTCTTCCGTCGTGGCCTTGAGAAAATCGACTTCCGATCCAAAATTTGAAGACACCGGGGCCGCCACCAAGACTGGATAGGCCCAGCTAAGATTCGAGGCCATGAATATGAAATCGTTGATAAAAGCCTGGGCTGAAGAGGAAGTTTCAACATACACGAGATCAAGGCCGCTTGGCTGCGGGCTGTGGCAAGCCTGCTGGCGAAAGCTTCAGAAACAGCATGCCGCACACCACGGAAGAGACCCAGGAGCCAACCTGCAAGCAGCATCATCGCCGATGCTAGCAGCCAGCCGCGTCTTGGCCTCCGAGTGCAAGCATGTTGCCGTCGACGACTGGGGACCAGCTTTGCAGCTTGGCTTAGGCTGACACCCTTCCAGGCCTCGGGCCGCGGGCCCAGAGTCTGAAAGCATCTCAGATCCGAAAGTGCCAAGGCTTCTGCCGTGGAGGTTTTGCGAACACGCAGAGCGGCAGGCGCGCCGCCATCGGATCGGACCCACGCATAAACAGAGCCTTTGTCTAAATAAGAGTCCTGGATCAGCGCTCCAGTCGAAGAACTCGATCTCAATTGCTACTCGGGTGTGCAACACTTCTAATTACCAATTCTGCTTCGCCTCTGCAGAGACCAGAGCCTAAAACATGCGTCAACTGCCGAGCGATGCCGTATTCTGCGAATGCTTTTGGACACGGTTGCTTCTGGACCGAATCGCACTGGGACTTTTCCACTGCAATTGCCAACCGACTCCGTACATCCTCCCAAACTCAATCACAGTGTGTTCGATTGAGCAGCAGTCGGCTGGACACCTTCGCGTTCAAGGGAGCTGATCTTCTCCTCTTGGGCTTGACGAGCCCACTGAGATCGGTGCCCAAGGTGCGCCTGCCTGACAGAAGCAGAGGCAGCTTGTGATGGCCTCAGAAGGCCTAGGCCCACTGAAGATTGACTGCGAAGGATTTCGAAGAGTGGTGGTTCTTTTCGAAGTGCCAACAGCACCTTGACAGTTCTCTCGCATCGAGAAGCCGTGAGACCGCCACGGCTGCTTTGAACCGCAGATCAATGCTCATGGACATGGGCACGTGTCGTAGACAGGTACACAAGGACCCAAAGCTTCGAGAGGGCACGCAGGGTCTAAAGAGTCCGAGCTTGAACCAACTTGAACTAGCGGAAGCAGCTCGGCCCTTCTCAAAGCCGCGGGTCTGACTGGCATGAGGGTAGAAGCGGTACTCTACCCTGCGCAAGCGCGCAAATTACAGATTTCCTCAACTCAACATGGCGGCTCCTTTTGCGTTCGCAGGTGCCCCCTCCCGGCTCGCGAGCTAGAAAATCCAATTCCTCTTCAACACATACTGTAGTCTGACCTCGGTTACTACTGCTTCAGGAGTCAGAGCACACAGGCACACAAGGTCACAACGTCTCACATTTCCACTCGCTACTCAACACCTACTGCTACAGTAGGTTGCTGATTGGATGCATGGCAGCCTCTGCGACGCGAAGAAGGGGTCATGGAGTTTATTCATCGGGTCACTTGCTGCTCCGTTCGAGCAGCCCAGCCTCTTCTACGAGAGTTCGTGCTAAAACGGAAGCAATGGTTTGTGCAAACAGTCAAGGGTTAATTGGAGCTGCCGTGACGGCATGCCCTCCAGTTGCCGTTTGCACTCTGTGAGACTGCTCAGTCCGCCGTACTGACCACTATCTGACCCGGGAAAACTGTGCGGTTCTCTTTATATCTATATAGTCATCTAGTCAATCCAGCCACCAGCATCACTATAGCATATATCCCAAGCGCAGTCGCGCAATGTGATCACTTCGGGCTCAAGGGCCTTAAGCTCAATGACGTCCCCGGGCCAAAAGCTCGGATGCGTCACGTGGACTGAACAGAAAACGGTTCGTCGTTCTCTTGTCCGGGCCGCCTTGAAGTGCCTGTCCTCAGTTTCGGTGTGTTTTCCGTGCTTGCCGCGACAAAACTCGAAAAGCGGCTAAGCCAAGTTGCAGAAGCTGGGTGAGGGCAAGCAGCTTGTCAGCCTGCTCCGCAGCTCTCGCACGGAGTGTCTCCTGCGAGCTTGATGGCGGCTGTCAGGCTGGACTGGACAGCTCCACTGCCTACACCGTAAACCCTGAAGCCTCCTGCAATTCCGCAGAGTTACGCCGTGCTTTCGATGCGAGATCTCTGAAGCAGGTCGTCAACCTCACGAAGACGTGGCAAGCGACGTGGCTCTGCATTCGGACCAGTGGTTTTCAAGAGTCTTTGGCACAATCATGCTCATCATAATCTTAATCACGTAGTAGTACTCACGGTAGTTGTCAGAATAATGGTCATCATGGTACTCTTAATGGTTATAGGAATCTGGTGGTGGCGGTGGTAATACTCTTGCAACTTGGGATCAGTCGGCAACTAGGAACCCCGACAAGCGACAGAATGCACAGCTAGCAGTCAAGAGGCTCGACGAGAGATATTTTCAATTCTGCAGCAGCCACCGGCGCCTCATGCAGTCGCATAGAACCCATCCGCAAGCTGGTTGAACATCACAAAAGCATGTTCCGAAACACCACCACTCTTGTTCTCAAAACATGCTGGCAAGCAGAGTTGAATTCCCATCACCGAACATGAACCAAACTGGGCCGGAGGAAGTTCTGACAATCTGGTAGTTCTCCACTCCCATATACCCTGCGAGTTGTTGTTATCATTATCAGGTTATCATTCTGAACAACCCTAGTCATACTAACAACCATCATTATACTGACTGATTGAGGTGATTTTCAGAATAAACAACCAACGATGCTTTCTGTGCAGGATTGTGTGCAGTGTGTACTCGGCCCTGCCCGATACCAGTACAGCACTGATCAACATACTACAGCACACACTGACAGAATAATGCTCTACAATGTACCACATCATTGCTCTGCACTATGGCTCTAGACTCCACAATATACTATGATATACTATCGTGTGGAGTCTACAGCACACCGTGTCTCGAGAGTTGTGGGAGTCAGCGCATCGTGCAAACCATTGCCCAAGTATGTGCTGAATGTCGACTCTCCCAATGTCACCGGCACCTGCCTCATGCGACGTGGTTGTTTGATCTACTAACAGAAAAGATGCGCTCTCGAACTGCCAGGCTTCGTACTCAATTGCAATTTTGGCAGGCGCAAAGGGGTACAACTCAACCACCAAGTCCCGAACACCTTGCTAAGTTACTGCGAAGGTGCTTCGCGCGCTTCTGTGAGCTGCTTCTGTGCAGCCACAAGATCAACGAAAGAGTCCAGGTCCTGCTAAAGGGATTGGCGCATGCCGCATGCGTGGTTTACCAAGTCTCGATGCTCAATGGGGGATCTTGCTTTCTACAACAACATGATCGCATCCCTTCTCCCACCCAAAGCTCCTCCTTACTCCAAGCTGGCGGCGCCAGTTCTCGGAGGATACCTCCCAAACCCCGCACTTTAAGGTGTGTAGAGAATCACGTCGTGCATCTTGGGTGCTCTTGTGCTGTTGAAGCTGCATCGGCTCACCGGTGGAAAAACCTGGGCAGAGGGCGCATCGGCCGATCGAAAGGTCAAAGAGCTTTTCAAAAGTCAATAGATTGACTTCTGCCGCCTCTGCGTGTCACCAGCTCCACCGCTCTTGGCCCAAGTATGGTCTTTTCGGTGTGCGGGCTCACCTGCCAGCGTGGAGAACGCAACAGCCGTCACGTTGCCCCCGATGGCACTGCCAAGGAGCCAGAACTATGTCGGCGGCAGGCTCGTCAAGGACTTCAGCCAGGTGTGTACTGGAGGCCTGCAACCATACAAGGTGTGGCCAACATCTGCGGGAGTGAGCAGCCAGCCTCATCCTGCTCAACGACGACATCCACAAGAGAAGTTTCCGGTGGCTCTACCGCCTGCTCCCTTGCCTGCCAATGCGAGTCAGGCTCATCAGTGTTGGATTCATCACATGTGGCTGACAGTCGCTGCAACCATGAGCTGTGGTTCGTGTGAAAGCGCACGTAAGTGCTGCCAAAAAGCGGATGCTCTGAGAGTTGTTCTAGATGTCCTCATGCAGACCGTACGTCGCTGTGCGACGTGAGCTATGAAGTCCGGCAGAATGTAGGACTCTGGCCTCGCAAGCAAAGGACCAATACTAAACGTTGAGATTCGCTGTGCAAGCTGCAAGAAACTTGAGGCAACGGTGCCTGCAAGTTCAGCGGCGACCCCGCATCAAAATTATCCGATGATGCTACAGTGTACGGCCTGGCTTACCCGCCATATATCAATGGACGGGATCATATCATACCTAGTTCGTACATAGCTACAGTAGTTTGCCGCCCTCTTGCTCATGTGGGAGAGACAATACATAGTCCCAACAATGAATCCTCCCCAGCCAGGCATGTTCGCAGTGACAGTGAGTGATTCAATGAACAAGCACGTCTGGAACACCTGGACATCATCCTAGGGTCCTATAGATGCGCTCACAGCTCCACTGCTCTGGCACTAGCGCTTGATGAAGCAGGTAGTGCGAAGGTAAGATAAATTGATTACGCCGTGCGGAAAGTGAAACGTATTGGAAGTAGGTATGCGAGTTACAAACACCAAGACACAGAACCCAAGAGGCCTACCGCAGTTATTTGCAGCTAGCACTCTTTTTCTATCCATGTCTTGAGCCAAAATGGGTTGTCATTATCTATGTGAAACATGTACCTGCACAGCCTACCGCGTGAGACC